GAGACAGAATTCGTCATTGAACTTGGCCTATTCAGCTAGCCGGGTCGGCCAGCGAGCCTCAGGCTCTCCCAGCTCTGCCTCCCCAGTGCTGGGATCACAGGTACGGCCTGCTTTGCCACGCTTTTGTTTAACTCTTACATGGGTGCTAGGGGATCCGAATTCAAGTTCTCCACTTGCTTAGTAAGCATTTTGCTGGCTGAGCTATCTCCCCAGTCCTGTGTGAAGGATTTTAATAATGCTTTTATGAATATTTATGAGGTAAGTGGCATTATTCGTGGAAGATAAGGTGATGCTTTCCCCTTCCAAGTCCTCGTGAGCCAAGATCTTTTATTTAGGGGTTTCCCATGATCCTCTAGAAAAGCCCACCAACGGGTCAAAGCCAGTGTGATGTTAATGACAGGGCATTTGGGGTGCGGGCCTCTTGTTAGTGCATGCTCATGGGACGCCGTCCTGGCTCTTTAACTTCTGGTGTGGAGGGAGCAAGCACACTGCAGCCACAAAGGGTGTTCTGACCCTCAGCAGATGCACATGGAGTTTTTCTGTTACCTCAAACCTAGCTCTTCCCCTACCCAGAATCAATACCACATCGCTGGAGTCCTCTGCCCAGCAGTTGGCACGGGCTACACACTCAGTGGACTTCAATTTAATTTCTTTTTTCATAATGAGAGACACTCTGGATGCTGCAGTCGCCCCCAAGGACCTGACCAATGGTTGTTTGGAAAGCTGTAATCACCCAGCCCTACCTACACATGTCAACTTTGGCCCTGAAACCTCACATCTTGCACCCACAGAGGAGGAGGAGGCCCTCCAGCCACAACATGGGGGACAACATTCCACCCCACTTTGAGTTAAGCTCCCGTCTTGTCTCCAGAATCATCTTCCCAGTCTATCTGAGGAAGTCTCTTAAGCGTATATCCTGGTATGGTCTTCCTAACCCTCGGCACTCCCCTCCCAGGGGTGCGTTGGCTCTTCCCGGGCTCAAGGCTTCCCCAGTGAGCCTAGCTTATTTCTTGGATTCACACTCCCAGGATGCCCAGAGTGACCCAGGGAGGCTGAGGGGCTGAGCCGTTCCATGCTGGGAAGGAGGTCTCACACAGCTGCCCTACGTGTGGGTCATAGCCTGGGAAGTTTGTGCTCTGCCTATGTCACCTACAAACATGGGGCACATCTGGCCTGTTATTCTGAACAGGAGTGGCAGCTGGGAGAGGGAACCTGGGAGAGCAGAGGAGGTACCGGTCCCCATCACCACCAGGCTGCCTGGGTGTCCCTGGGCCAAATCCAGAAGGGAGGGCTGACCTGCTTCACCCTCTCGGCCATTCTGGGAGGCAGTGCCCTCCTCTGACAGTCAAAGAAAGTGGCCTCAGGACGTGCAGGCCTTACCAAAGTCATGGGCCTATTGGATAGCAGGGACTCAACTGCAGGCTAGACCAATCAACTCCAGAACTCAGCTCCAAACAGAGGATTTGTCAAGAGGTTCAGAATATGGCTTAGGAGAAAAGATGTTTCCCAAGATCTTAACTGGCTCTTAGAACCAAGGGAGGCCCCAAACCTCAAGGCACAGGTGTCCTGGCCCAAGATGAGCTGGACGTCTCAGGATCAGGGCTGCCATGGTAAGTGTGATGTGGACTAAAGTATCTCCTCCATTTCTCTTCCCTGCAGCCCTCTCTCCTTTCCTCCCTCCTCAAGGGAACACTCTGTTGTAACGTCTCAGGATCAGGACTGCCATGGTAAGTGTGATGTGGGCTGAAGTATCTCCTCCATTTCTTTTCCCTGCAGCCCTCTCTCCTTTCCTCCCTCCTCAAGGGAACACTCTGTTGTCAGAACAGTCCCAACCCTCAAGGGCCTCCAGGGAGTAACTTGTTTGTTGGCACTCCCACAGCCCCCAAGGGGACAGAGTCCTGAGAAAGAGGTCACCTAAGCAGACAAATACACACAACGCCCAAGACTACCAGGGAAGGGACCAAGCTGGGTTTGGATGTCTGAGCCAGAGCGAGACCTGAGCAGAATGTGAGTACTGAACAAGATGAAAGGCCTGGGTTTAGGTCAGACCTGACTCCTGGGCTAACCTGGGCTGACCGGCACACAGGGAGATAAGGTTTTGGCAGCTGAGGTTGAATTTGGTCCTCAAGGACAGCTCCAGTGAGTCTCCACTCTGACTGCAGTGGTAGATAGATGACCCATCTTCCCTCAGCATCCTGGGCTTCCCGATGGCCCCAAGCCAGCCAGCCACAGGAGACATGGCTGTTCCAGGCCAAGCATAGCTGTGTCACACACTGAGACCTGAGCCACACAGCAGGGGGTGAGGAAGTCAGGCCAGGAGGACATCACAAGCTGTCAAGACTTCAGGGCTTTGAAGAAGCCTGAGGGACAGGGCAGACACTTGGCTTCCACTCAAACCCGCCCAAACTCACAGGTGTGGTAAGTGAATGTACTGGCCCAGGCTGTAAGGGAGGAGCCTCTCTGCAGATCCAGGGTAGGTCTGTGTTGGCAAAACTGAGTGTCCCAGGCTGCCCTCAGTGTGGGGACTCTTTCAGGGCCTGGGCAAATATGGTCCATGCCTGTCAGGCATGACGTGGGCAGCGCTGCTGTGGACACCCTCCCTCACATGCCCAAAAGAGTTCCCACGGGGCCTTGTCATGTAGCCTTATTGCAATAACTTTGCGGACAGAAAAACTGGAGCTGCTAATGTCTGCAGAATCCACCTGAACTGTGCTCATGGCTCTAATTAAGGTGACTCACTGCCAGCTAGAATCAGCTGGATCAGCACATCCTAGCTACTCCTTCACTCTGGAGCCCACCAGCTACCCAGGGCCTCTCTCTGCTGGGCTCCTGGCACTGGGTGGGGATGGACCACCCTCACAGGAAGAGCGGATCGCAAGGGTCTCAGTACCCTATTCTAGCCTCCACAGGCATTTTAGGCATATACATGGTACATTTACATACATGCAGGCAAACACACGTAAAACTAACTAAATAATAAATAGCCAAGGTGGGTGGGGAAAATGTCACAGAGTTCCACCTAGAGAACAAGAGCCACAAGCAATCAGTGGATGCTGAGGAGGGAGAACCAGTTTCCTCCAGGGACGACCTCCCTGAGAGGTTATGTAATCCCAAATGGACAGCCCTAAACACAGGCACACACGGGCATCACTAAATGGACTCAGTGCGTAATGTGTGTGTATATTTATAAATGTATGTATGTATGTATATGTAACTACAATATCAAAGAAGAGGCTGTATGTCTGTCTGTATGTATATGTAAATGTATGTAAATGTATGTATGTGTATGTAACTATGATAAAGAAGAGGCTGTATGTATGTATGCATATGTAAATGTATATAAATGTATGTATGTGTATGTAACTATGATAATCAAAGAAGAAAAGAAATTGAGAGTGGGGAAAACATGAGAGGAGTTGGAGGAAGACTGGAATATTCATGTATGAAATCCTCAAAAATAAAAAATAAAATCTGAACCGGGTGAGGTGATGCATGCCTTTAATCCCAGCACTCAGGAGGCAGAGGCAGGCAGATCTCTGTGAGTTCA